GAAAATATGAAATCAGTGCACCTTGAAAAAGAACAGAATAACAGCAATTTTTAGGGAACAAGGGAAGACAACCATAAGGTTTGACTGCCTGCAGGGTTGGGCAAAAAGAGCCCTATTTTTCTTCTTGCAGAGAGCCTACAAATGGACGTACAAGTAGGGAAGATATTGCTAAATTCTTTTCTTAGCAAGGAATATTCATACCCTGGGAAAGGAATGCATTCCTGGGGGGAGGCCTGTAATGGCCACTCTGGGAATGTCTATGTTATGTGGCTGAGATAAAGACTGAGATTCACCCTGGTCTCCTACAGCACCCTCAGGCTTACTAGGGTGGGGAAAACTCTGCCCTGGTAAATTTGTGGTCAGACCGGTTCTCTGCTATCAAACCCTGTTTTCTGTTGTCTGGGATGCTTATCAAGGCAATACGTGCACTGCTGAACATAGACCCTTATCAGCAGTTCGGCTTTTGCCGTTTGCCTTGTGATCTTTGTTAGACCCTTATCAGTAGTTCTGCTTTTGCCCTTTGTCCTGTTTCCTCAGAAGTGATCTTTGTTAGACCCTTATTAGTAGTTCTGCTTTTTCCCCTTTGAAACATGTGATCTTTGTACCTACTTCCAGTTCTTACATCCCCTCCCCTTTTGAAATCCTTAATAAAATTTCAAAAATGCTGGTTTTGAGGCTCAGGTGGGCATCACGGTCCTACCAATATGTGATGTCACCCCCGGTGGCCCAGCTGTAAAATTCCTCTCTTTATACTGTCTCTCTTTATTTCTCAGCTGGCTGACACTTAAGGAAAATAGAAATAACCTACATTGAAATATTGGGGGTGGGTTCCCCCAATAGATATTTATCTAAACATCTGCCCATCTATGTATTTTTGGCTTGTTTCATCCTTTTGCTAAATTAAACCTGTGCAATTGGCATGTGTCTACAGTGACCATTGCTCATATGTGTAAGCATCTCTGCAGGACAAATTCCCAAAAGTGCAATTGCTGAATCAAGGACCATTTGCATTCTACAATTGTAATAATGATTGCAAATCCATTTCTATATTTGCTGAGTTTGATGGCACAAGCTTTCCCACAAATTTGCCAATAGTATTATTGTATTATTAAATTTAAAATTTTTGTCAGTCTTCACATTTCATCTTTTAATGAGCATTTTCTTAAATAAGAGTGAGAAAGAGCATCTTTTGCCCAAGTTGATAAGCCACTTACTTTCTTTCTATGGGAGTGGTCATCTTATATTTTCTGCTGTTTTTCTTTGGGTTCTTTTTTCTTATTTACTTATAAGAATGTGTACCACAATTAATGATTTTTTTCTGTCTTTTGTTGCAAAAGATTGCCTTTTGACTTTTTTGGGGGGTGCTTTGGGTTAATTTTTATGAAGTTACATTTGTCCATATTTTCTTTTGTACCACACTACCCATCTATTTCCCAGAGCTTTGTGGGGCTTCCTTTAGCAGATGGGAAGTTTTCACTTATTCACACGTCTGTCTCTGACCTTTTTAGTCGTTTGAATGCATCCTTTTTTATGGTATTGCCAGACCATTTTTATTACTGTGACTTTTTTTTTCTTTTTGCTTTTTTTGAGACGGATTCTAGCTGGAGTGCAGTAGTGCAATCTCGGCTTACCGAAACCTCCCATCTCCGGGGTTCAAGTGATTCTCCTGACTCAGTCTCCTGAATAGCTGGGATTACAGGCACTGTCCACCATGCCCAGCTAATTTTTGTATTTTTAGTAGAGACGAGGTTTCACCACGTTGGTCAGGCTGGTCCCAAACTCCTGACTTCAAGTGATCTACCCACCTCGGCTTCCCAATACTGTGACTTTCTAATAGATTTTAATATCTGGCAGACTGGCTTTTTTTCTTTTTTTTGTTAAATCAACCCTTACAAACATTTGTTGTATGGTAAAGTACATGTTTTATTTGGATTGAGGGAAATTTATAATGAAATACAGAGATTTCATGTTTCTTTTAAAGTTTAATCCAGGTATTTTATATTATTTTGACTAGTATATTTTCTTTTATTATGTTTTCAGTTGATGGTTATTTCTACATGGTAAAACTAATGATTTATGCAAATAAATTCTGTGCCCAATGAACATAGTACATGCTAAAGATGGTGTTGTGTATCAAGAGAAAAAATATAGATAATTAAGTAAAAGTTCTTGGGACAACTGGAAAGCCTTCTGGAAAAAAGGCAACTGAACCTGGTTCTCGTGTCTTATGCCAAGATAACGTTCAGATTAATCATTTTTTTCTAAAAGAGTCCTAAAAGCTCTAGAAGGAACCATGAGAAAATTATTTCATAGCTCCAGAGTAGGAATAACCTTATTTTGACATAAATCCCAAGGGCTATGAAAAAGTGATACACTGTTAAATGAGAAAAGATACATGCCAGGCATAGTGGTTCATGCCTGTAATCCCAGTACTTTATGAGGCCAAGGTGGGGAGATCACTTGAGATCAGGAGTTCAAGACCAGCCTTGTCAACATGGGGAAACCCCGTCTCTACTAAAAATAAAAAAAATTAGCTGGCTGTGGTGGTGAATGCCTGTAGTCCCAGCTACTTGGAAGGCTGAGGCAGGAGATTCACTTGAACCTGGGAGTGGAGGTTGCAGTGAGCCGAGATTGTGCCACTGCACTCCAGCCGGGGCAACAGTGACTCCATCCTAGCCCCCCACTCCTCCAAAAAGGATACATAATAGTGTCTATAGTAGATGCTGTGCTTCCATATAATTTTTTAAGACGCTAAAAATTAGCCCACAAAGCATACATTAAAAAAATAATAATCTGGCAATGTGTGGGGAGAAGTAAATGGCATTGGGCCATAGAGGTGGATTCTGTTTTAAAGTTCTCAAATTCTGAACCAAATAAGTGCACACAATATTAAAATTTTAAATAACCACTGCAAAAGAAGAAAGAGTAAGCAGAAAATTCAGCTCCTTTGCTGGATCTTAAATGTTTATAAACGTTTTCCAGTGGGGCCTCTAGTGTTTTCTAAGTGTAAAATCATTATCTGCCAAAATGATACATTTGCTCCCACATTTCAAATTGCATGACTCTTTTTTCCCTTGCCTAATTGAACGTTCTGGTATCTCTAGTACCATGCTAAATAAGAGCAAAACATTGGATCTGGGTATTTTGTTTTTTTACTCATTTGCATTTGAGTTTGCTTTGTTGCCATAGACAATGTTTATTTTTACGCAAATTTGTTAACCTTTTACCGCTGGCTTCTGGGTGTTTTCCTCAGAGTATTTTTAACTGCTTGGCTAAATTTTCTCTGATACTTTTCTAATTGTCTGCTTCTCTAATTGTTTTCTGCTTTTTGAAATTCTCAAATGTTTGATCCCTGTAGAGTTTATTTTCATAATAGGGAGAAAAGGTCTCACTTGCAAATAGAGAAGCTGGAGCGTTGTGTCTTCGCTCGCTTGATAATGATTGGGGCTGGGGTGTTTCCTTAGGGACAACCTGGCCCAGCTGCCCTTCCTGACCATGTGCCTGAAGGAGAGCCTGCGGTTACATCCCCCAGCTCCCTTCATCTCCCGACGCTGCACACAGGACATTGTTCTCCCAGATGGCCGAGTCATCCCAAAAGGTGCCCACAGCCTCAGGGGGAGGAGCCTCCCAGGTAGGAAGATGGGCCCTTCAGGGGGTCCTCGTCCTGACTGCCCCCTTCTCTCCCACAGGCATTATCTGCATGATCAATATTATAGGAGTCCATCACAACCCAACTGTGTGGCCGGATCCTGAGGTGCTGCCTTCCTCATTCACCACCACCACCCCCAGCCTCTACTTTGTTTTTCTTTGTTTGTTTTTTGTCAATTCCAATGTTCCTAGTGGAGGGGGCAGGATTTTGATGAGGAAAATCCAACATCACCTTGTCCCAACACACGCATTTGTCTCTCCAACAAGGCTGCTGGACCTAGGAGACCCCACCCAGCAAACTTTTGTCTCACCTGCAGGTCTATGACCCCTTCCGCTTCGACCCAGAGAACAGCAAGGAGAGGTCACCTCTGGCTTTTATTCCCTTCTCCGCAGGGCCCAGGTAAGAGCGCCCTGTGTCTGAGGCAGGGGTGGGGTGATGGGTGCAGGAGTCGAAAAAGGAGGACGTTGCAGATGGTCCCAGTTCCAGATCTCCCCTTCATTCCTTCACAGTTTATGGGAAAACGTCCATAGAATGGGGATGAGTAGGTCCTAGAGGAGTCCGCGGAGTGCTCAAAATTCCCTTCTCCATCTGCTGGTCTGAGAGGGAGCTGGAGTCTTGCCCAGGTTCCAGGACATGCAAGTCCACCTGGGGGTCCCAGGCATGCTTAGCCCTCTCTATGTCTCTCAGGCTGAGCTGGGTGTGGTTGGGGGTCCTGGGTCAGGTTCCTGGAGTGATGGGATCCAAATGCGGGTCTTGGGCACAGTCACAGCCCACTCTCCCGCCTGCAGGAACTGTATCGGACAGGCGTTCGCCATGGCGGAGATGAAGACTGTCCTGGCACTGATGCTGCTGCACTTCCGGTTCCTGCCGGACCACACTGAGCCCCGCTTGAAGCCGCAGGTGATCCTGCGCGCCGAAGGCGGGCTTTGGCTGCGGGTGGAGCCCCTGAACGCAGGCTTGCAGTGACGCTCTGATCCATCCACCTCTTTTTTTGCAGATTCTAATGAATAAAACGGTGCTATCACCTCTGCATGGGCCTCACTGCCTGCAGGGTGCGTTGGGGATTGGGAGGCTTCAGGGTGAGGTCTAACCTCGATGGGTTGGGCGGGGTGTTGTCCCTGACCCCAAGACCCTGACTGCCTCTTTGGCTGAGCATAGGGCCTCCATGCCTATAGCAGGGTCTCTCAGAGCCCAAGTATGGACTTTATCCTGTGGACAATATGGAGCCATGGGAGGGTTTTGAGCAGGAGAGGGACCAGGATGAAGAACGGATTTAAGAAGCGAGACCGAGGCTCAGTCAGTGAGAAGCAACCCTAGAGGCAGATCCTTTCTTCTGGTGTGGGAGTGTCCCAAGACGGAGATCCCTGGCCAGTTCAGAACATAGGGATAGAAGGATGCAGCTTTTACCCTGGCAGGCTCTCAGGTATTCTCAGTTTCCTTTCTTGCCAACCTCCCACCCTATGTCTCCCCTTTCCAGTTGATCACTTTTCTGACCCCCTTTCCCTAACTTCAGGCAGCTCCATTTTTTCCTCTTTTGAGCCGTCTGACTCTGCCCAGGCAGTCCGTCCATCAGGTACTACCTGAATCCTCCCCGTACTCTCTTCTGTTATGTGCCAGGCACTCTCACAAGTGTCAGACATTGGGCACGTCCTCACCCTTTCACCTCTAGATTCCTTCTTCATTCCCATCAGTGACCCGTCTTGGGGTAAGGTGCAGACAGGACCTTTCCATTTGACACTTGAGATTCAAAGTCAGATGATTGGAAACAAAACACCATCCCAAAGGTATGGGATCTGGAGCCAGACTGTGGTGCTGAAGTCACACATCTTTGCTGTGTGACTTGAGCCAGTTAATTCCCGTCTATGCACTTCAGTTTCCTCAAACATATAATGCGGGCAACAACACTACGTACCTCAGGGATGTTCTGAGGACAAAGTTTGAGGAACTCAGAACTGTGCCTGGTGCACATTGGATGCTTAATAAATGTGGCCATTATTACCTCCTCTCTGAGAAAGTCTGGCTAATAAAGCATGTTGCCTTTTAAGATAGTTTTTTTCTACTATGACTTTAAAGACTGTCTTGGAACTCATGGCAAAAATTCTGATATCTGTGCTCCTTGAATAATCTCTTGCCTTTTAGAGGACTGTGCATTTAGGAGGCAATTTTTTCCAAGACTGGTTGTGGGCACCTGAAAGTGCAAGGTGGTAGGAGAAGGAAAGAAGCTTCAGTTAATGTTTTAAAATGATGTCCTACTGCAAACATTGACCTCTGTTCACAGCCTAAGGAATCCTGCACCACTGCACCCTGCTGACTTGTCAAATCTTCTCTCCAGCTCATATCCCTCACTTGTTCCACTCAGTTGCCTTGTGCTTGATTCTTATCTCCAAATACATTATATTTTCTTGCTTAGTGCCATTGTACTTCCTTTGTACTTTTATGAAAGATCAGTTGCCTATACTTATCGGGTGTATTTTCTGGGATTTATATTCTGGTTCATTGACCTATTTGTCTTTTCTTTTACTAGTACAATATCTTGATTACTGTAACTTTACAGTAAGTCTTGAATTTGTATATTGCCATTCCTCAAACTATGTTCCACTTCTTCAATAGTGTGTTGACTATTCTGGGTCTTTTGTCTCTCCGCCTATATTTTAGAGTTAGTTTGTTGATATCCATCAGAAAACTTTCTCAAATGTTTACTGGGACTGTATTGAATCTACAGAATTAGTTGGAAAGAACTGACATCCTGAGAATATTTTCTGCCTTATAAGAAATGCTCAAGGGAGTCCTGCATCTGGAAGTGAAAATAGGCCAGTGTATACTCTGGGGTAGTGCTAGTCCAGCAACAGCGGCAGTGGAAGCAATTGCTACAAGTCCCACCACCGCTGCTACGATGACCCCAACCACTCTCCAGCTGCAGTGGACAAGATCTTGCATTACTTTGTAAATTTGAGTAACCCCAGAAGATTCACTCCAGGCATGTGTTAAGTTCACAGGTAGTCAGGTTTCTTTTCTGGCTCTTAGTAGATATAAATCGGAATGAGACTCATTCCAATTATTCTTCCACCAAGTAGTATTTATACAACGTAAGAATGTACAATTGTCCGTACAGTTAACTACCCCTGTATAATTATCCCATTTAAAAATTCCTGTTAACAACAAATAAGGTTTTCTTACACATGTAATAACATATCTAGAACTATTTCGATGCAAAGATATATGGAAAGGGTTAGCAATATTAGTAGTAAGATTTAAGGACATGTTTCCCATGAAAGTGAACATTGGTTTATCAGCAGCTAGCAACTTCCAAATATGACTTTGTATTTGTGAGGTATTAGCCAAATGCAGCATAGGGGGTGATAGACCACCATCATGCCAAATAATAGTTTCATTGCCATCCGCAGAAATGCTGTGATTACTCTTATGCCAGTGCAGGTTGACATGACTAAATTTAGTTTGAAAATCCCCATGTACACTCCAATCAGTAACAAGGTATTTATGACCTTTCCTTTTTACTTCTAACAACAATCGTGGCCCACTACCTCTACATCTAGTCTTTCTTAAAATGGCCGGGTTTCCCACAATGAAAACATACACCTTGTTTAGAATTACTCTTTAAGGCCTCAGAAAGTGCTCCAGCAAACAATTGAGCATTGTAAATAGCTCCCCCAACGCCTGCACAAGCCCGAATATACTCATCTAAATTAGCTTCACTGGCCTTTAAAGGTCTTAATAATTTTTGTTGCAGCTTCCATTTCTTTCAAAAATTTAAATTGTAGGGCTGTAAAAGTCACATTCTGGCCACCTTTTGGGAACTGAGCATTGGGGCCGACAGCAGATCTAATTCCTCAAAACCATCCTTTTCCTTTGATTCCTTCTTTTCTCCTACAGGAGGAAAAGGCACAGAGAAAACCTGACCTGACATAGGTGAAGAGGTTGGAGGTGGAGGCAAAGGGAAATCTTTTTCCAAAGGAGCAGAAGGGAAGGTAACACGGAAGGCTCGTGGCGGAGAGATAGGAGAAACAGGAGCAGCAACACCTTACAATTTTAACAACTGTTGTAACATCTCTAAAATACGCTGCAAATCAGAATTTCCTTCAGATGAAGGAGGCATTAACTCTTCTTCCAATTCCTTGTCCTCAACAATCGGGGCGTAAATATGTTCCTCTCTAGGATCATTCCTCT